TAGCACAAGGGGATGAGCCCGAAACAGAATTTTCCATGGAGAAGGTCAGCGGCTGAACGCGAGTGCCCCGCCCGGCCTCTCTGTGCTCACAGGCCGTCCAGAGCCTCCGGCCCTCCCCTCCGGGGCACCTGGGCGGGCCGCTGCGGCTGGAAGCTGCCCAGAAGTTCTTCCTGCTTTGGGGAGACGGCTGGGCCCACCCTGCGGGGCAGCTGGCTGAGAGTGCCCACAGCGTGCCCTCACCCCCAAACTGCCAATTATCCTGGGATGCTGCCTCTGCCCACCCACTTTTCTCCAGAGCACCAGTTATTTCGTTGTTATATATTTTTGCCTTTTCTCCCACACTGATGGTTTCCTAATGAGGGCCAGTGTGGATTGCCTATATCTTCAGCCCCCTCCCCTCTAGGTGAAGGAGCAGTGTGGGCAAGGCTGGGGGTGGCAGCCAGGCCTGCTCAGGGAGGGCAGTGGTCAGACTGGCTATGCACATGCGGGCTGTGGGGGAGATGATGGACAGGGTGGCCGAGACGGGTCACCAGACCTTGAACGCTGGCCACAGAAGCCGTCCACAAACCCAATGAATGAGTGAGTGACCTGGAGGATTTTAAGCAAGGGAAGGACGTAAGCTGTGTCTTGAGAAGGAAGAGTCGGCGTTGTGTCCTGCTCCAGGCTGGCTTCTAGTATTCGTAGTGCACCTGCTGTGTGCGCTGGTCTGAGTCTCGTGCTGCCTCCATCTGAGTTCTGGAAGCAGAGACAGGGCTCCGAGCCGGGCTGTGCGGCCTCAGGCGGGTTCCCTGGCCTCTCTGCACTCCAGTCTGCACCCCTGTGATGTGAGGATGGCCAGGCTCACCATTCCAGGAGAGAATTGAGGCACAGCTGAGGCCCATGTTGGCCAGGGTTGGTGCTCAGGTGGGATCCTTTGATATCATCAGGGGAAAAATCTCCACGTTCTAAGGGAGACAGTTTTGAAACGACTTCTGAATTATCGACCTATCTGGTTATTTATGCTCCTGGCACAAAATCCAGTGTAACTCTCCTCTCTGATGCCTTTGCTTCCCTTTAATCTGTGCGCTGGCATGCTGTGGGGTGTGGGGGGGCTCTCATCCCCTCTACTCCATCAGCCCCTCACTCCCCTGGGGAAGCATACAGGCCAGTACAAGCCGGGTACCTGCTGCACAAGTTCCCTCTCGTCCCCTCGCACTGATCCCACCTATGGCCCGGGGTGTAGACGTGCTATGTATAGCTAGAATTTTTTAAAATTGTGGTTAAATACACATAACATAAAATCTACCACTTCAACCATTTTAAAGTGTACAATTCAGTGGCATTTAGTACATTCACGATGTTGTGTCACCGTCACCTCTATCTGGTTCTGTAACTTTCTCATCCCACCAGATGGAAATTCCACACCCATTAAGCAGTCACTCCCATTCCGCCTCCTCCAGCCCCTGGCAGCCGCCAGCTCCTTTCTGACTCTGTGGATTTGCCTTTGCTGGCCATTGCATATAGGCGGAATCGTACAACATGTGGTCTTTTGTGGCTGGTTCCTTTCACTTAGCATAATGCTTTTGAGGTTCATCCATGTGGCATGTATCCATGCTTCATTCCTTTTTTATAGCCAAATAATATTCCTCAGTGTGGACAGATCACATTCCGTTAATGTGTTCATCCGCTGATGGACATTGTGTTATTTCCTCCTTTTGGCTGTTGGGACTAGCACTGCTACGAACGTTTGTGTATAAGTTTTTCTTTGAACACCTGTCTTCAGTCCCTTTGGATAGATACCAAGGACTGGAATTGCTGGATCCTATGACAATTCTATGTTTAACTTTTGGGGGAACTCCCCAACTGTTGTCCACAGCGGCTGCACCATTTCACATTCCCATCAGGAATGCACGAAGGTTCCCATTTCCCCACACTCTCGCCAGCACGCGCTATTTTCCATCATTTTGATTACAGCAGTCCTAGTGGATGTGAGGTGGCCCCTCACCATGGTTCTGATTTGCATGTCCCTAATGATGAGTGATGTTTAGGGTCTTTGCTTGTGGTCATTGCTGTTTGTTTCTCTTCTTTGGAGAAATGTCTATTTAAGTCCTTTGCCCGTTTTTAAGTTAGGTTGTCTTTTTGTTATTGAGTTGTAAGAGCTCTTTTAGACGTAATCTTTGAGTATTCACTCATTCATTCCTTCATCCATCCCACAAACACTCATGGATGGCTACACAGGTTAGGCCAGGTGGCCCCAGAGTCAGCTTAGACCTGGCACTGCCCTCGAGGGGCTCACCGTCTGATGGGGAGGCTGGGTGTGGAAGCAGTGACCGTGAGACCAGGGGTGAGGTCAGCACATGACAGACAAGTACCTAGTGTGTGTCCTCGATGCCTGGGGTCGAGGGGTTTGAGCCCCCTGGGGCTTGCACTTGACCCTGGAAAGGAAGTATAGTTTGCCAGACAGAGAAAGCGGGGGAGAGGTACGTCCCAGGCAGAGCGACCAGCACAAGCAAAGGTGACTGGGTCATCAGAGGCCAGATCCCGGAGGCCTCCCATTCTAGTAAAGGAGCTTGGGGAGCTTGGGTGGGCTCTGAGCAGGGGAGTGACAGTCAGATCTGGGTGCTGGTGGGAGCTGAGGTGGCCTGCTTGGAGGCGGGAGACCTGGGCTGCAACGATCTGTTTCTACCCCCAGGGTCCATCCCAAGCCCGACCAAAGGGCCCCGATTCAGACCCCACTTATCCGAGCTCCTGCCCCCAGCAGGCGCTCTGACCCCGGGCAGTGGGGGCTTTGCAGCCTTGAGCTGCTGGAAGAATTTGGGAATTTGGAGCGTGCTTTCAGCCTCCAGGATCCAAAGCGCCTGGACCTGCGGCCTGGAGGCTGGTGCCCAGCAGGGTTCCCATCCATCTCATTTCCCCGGGTCAGCTTTCTGAGGCTCTACAATTACTTTGGGCTGAATTCTCCAGATTCCAGCCCGCTCCCAGCCCCACCCGCCCAGATGCTCTTCCTCCACGCCAGCCTCGGGCGTTTCTGCCCATTGTGCCCGTGGGAGACCCAGGGGGATCTTGGCCAGATTAGCGGCGGGGCAGGCGGGTGGTGGGGATTGAGTGTCTGTTGGGGCGTCCTGGGCGCAGCACGTGCTGTGGGCTCACACCACACGGGGACTTTCCCAGCTGGCTGTGGGTGCTCAGCTGCCCTGGAAAAACACTGACTGGTTTCTCTCAAGGAAGGGGCTGGCAGGCAGTGGTAGAAGGAGGGAACTCACTGCCCTGGGAGGCCAGGGCCTTGGGCGTCAGCTCTGGGGAGCCCCTGGTGGTCTCCCCCACTCTTGCCTTTTGCCCCCTCTCTAAGCAGACGCAGTCTGTTGCTTGGAAGCCAGGTGTTGCTTTGAGAGCCAGCTGTTGCCCAAAGGTCTGCTGAAGCGAGCGCCCCCTCCTTGCAGGCGGCTGCGCCTTCTCCTCCAGGTGCTCAAGACCCCATAGTTGGTGCAGCTTCTATGGAAAACAGTCGGCAGTTCCTCAAAAAGCTAAACAAACCACCTTAGGACTCGGCAACTCCACTCCTAGGCATATGCCCCAAAGAGCTGACAACAGAGACTCAAACAAAACTTGTGCATACATGTCGCGGGCAGCACTATTCACAACAAAGGTAGGAGCAACCCAAATGTCTGCCTGTGATGGATGGATAAAGAGAATGTGGTCTCTGCAGACAATGGAATATTATTTGGCCATAAAAAGGAACAGAGTACATACTGATTCATGCTACAATGTGGATCAACTGTGAAAACATGATACTAAGTGAAAGAACCTGGACATGGAAGGTCACGTAGTGTGTGATTGCATTGGTATGAAACGGCCAGAATAGGCAAATCCGAAGGAACAGAAAGCAGAGCGGTGGTTGCTGGGGGCTGGGGGAGAAGAAAATGGGAGCCACCGCTAACCCCCGCTGGTGTGGGGTTTCTTTTCGGGGTGGTGACAATATCTTGGAACTTAGTAGGGGTGGTGGTTGTACAACATGTGAATATACTCCATGCTGCGGAACCGTACCCTTTAAAATGGTGAACTTTATGTTATGTGAATTTCACCTTGTTAAACAAACAAACCATCATGCGATAACATGTCCCGTAAAGAGGGAGTGAGCCTGGCGAGTGCCCTCCTGTCCCGGCCTCAGTCCCTGGGGGTTGCCAGGAGATTCAGTACCAGGCACCCTCCCCAGTCCCACTGAGGATACCATGTTGTAATAAAGCTCACTGCTCAGCCCAGCACACAGTAGGTGCTCAATTCACATCAGCTCCTGTTTCCTCCTCTAAGTGCACCCAGTCATCCAGAAATGAGTGACCGATAACAGCAGCTGTGCCTGTGTGCGCAGCCCTTCTCCCCAGTTCTCTGATCTGAGCCCGTGTGGTGGTGGGGTCAGGTGTTTTATACCCCATTTCATGGATTTGGAAAGTGAGGCTCAGAAAAGTTGAGTGCCTTCCCAAGGTCACACGTGGGCTGCAGCTAGAGTCAGGACTCGGTGGGCTTGTGGCGAGTCTGCTCAGACGCCTGCCTGGCCCAGGCACCTGGGGGTGGAGGGAAAGGGAGCAAGGGGTCTACAGATGATGGGAAAGCGCCCCCTGTGGAGTTGGGGTTTGCTGTTCAGGGGCCACTGTGGACAGTCCGAGTTGATGGCTGTCAAATCCTAGGTGGGTTATCACGTCCCGGAAGGAAGGGTCCATGTCTGATTCAGAGGTGTAGGGAGCCGTGGTTCTTGCAATCCTGTAGGACTAGCAGTTGGCAGGCCTTGTGATTCCACGGTTCTTGCGAGTCCCGGGCTGAGGGGGCGTGGGTGTGTGTGCCTTTCCAGGCCGGGATCACACGTGTGAGTCAAAGGAATATGGCCCCTTGAGGGCTGGGATCTGTGCTTTGTTCCCTGGTGGGCACAGCTTGGCCTGTGGCAGGCCCCTAGAACACACTGGCCCACTGAGCCTGAGTCGGGAGGGCCTTGCCTGGCCATCTCACCCTGTCCTCTCCCCTCTCTGCAGAGCGCTGTCGTCTGTCGTGGCCCTGGGCGCCAACATCATCTGCAACAAGATTCCTGGCTTGGCCCCGCGGCAGCGCGCCATCTGCCAGAGCCGGCCCGATGCCATCATCGTGATTGGGGAGGGGGCGCAGATGGGCATCAACGAGTGCCAGTACCAGTTCCGCTTTGGACGCTGGAACTGCTCCGCCCTCGGCGAGAAGACTGTCTTCGGGCAAGAGCTCCGAGTAGGTAAGGGCGCCTCTGGGATCCGGGGGACCCCGCGTCGGGGCTTCGGGGACCAGGGCCAGTACCAGGCCACCCACCACCCACTGAAGGCCAGGCCAGGCCACCTATGCTCAGTGTTCTGCACTGGCCCTGCTGACCGACTTTTTGAGATAGCAGCTTTCCCTGTGTCTCTCTCTGTGCCTGGCCTGGGTGGGAGCCCGAGAGCCCCAAGGATACCCAGACCTGGCCTGGCCCTCTGGGACACCACTGCGTCTGGGGCAAAGAAGGTGTCCATGGGAGCCAGTGCATAAGAGGATGAGGGTCCTTGCTCTGAGCTGTTGGGGACGTGGTCCCAGTGTGGATGTGAGCTGGGCAGGCTGGCAGCATGGCAGTATGGTGCAGTGGCTAGAGGAATGCTCTGCTACTGCTTAGCAGCTGTGTGGACCTAGGCACACTGCTTCATCTCTCTGTTCCTCCACTTCTGGATCTGGAAAATGAGATAACAGTTGTAGTTCCTGCAAGGGGTTGCTGGGGGGCTTCGTGCGAATGGTGCCCAGCCCACAGGAAGTGCTGTATGAATGTTGTGATTCCTAGAGTAGAAGGGTCTCCAGACAGAGGGAACAGCGTGAGCGGAGGCACGTAGGATGCTGTGGCGCGATGTGTGTGGGAGCATCGAGTGTGTGGGAAGGGATGGGGGGCAGGGGTGAGCCTCCAATCCCGTGGGCAGTGGGAGCCCCTGAAGCACATCACAGGTGGAAAGAGGGCCACACACCCCCTCTTCCTGTCCTCAGAGCCCTACAGGAGGATCCGTCACTCCCATTTTACAGGGAAGGAGATTGGGGCCCAGAGAGGGGCTTAAAGGGAAAAGCGTGACTTCTGGAGTCTGACCTGGATTTGAATGCAGCTGTGTGACGTTGGGCAGGGCACCCGGGGCTGCTGGGGCCTCAGTTCCCTCGTTTGTAACACGAGCTCTGAGCGAGCAGGCCCTCCTCTGGGTCCTCAGAGCCTCTCCCCGTGCCTGTACACAGTAGGTGCTCAATAAATGGCTGTTGAACAAGTAAGCGTGGGAATAGTGACGTGACTGGCCCCTCCAGGCCATTGTGAGGGTCAGATGGGGGAGAGGAATACTCAGGGGCACAGGGCTGGGCACGCAGGGGGGCCCCTGCTATTCCAGACCTCAGCCTGCGGGCACAGGTAGGCCCCAAGCATGTGGGCACAACACATCCTTCCGATCCCAGAGGGCCCAGGAGCCTGGGACTGCCGAGCAGAGCCACAGCCACCGGGACCCAGGCCAGAGCCGAGCTCTGCAGGGCTTGGAACGCCTTGCGTGGGGTTGGGGGAGGGTGCGGGGGAAAGCCCCCAGGGGCCCCTTTGTGGTGAGCAGCCTGTGGGTGGCACCTGGCACAGCCAGGAGGGTGGCACCGCCCCTCCCTAGGGCCCCACCACCCAAGTGCAGCTCCCTTCCTCCAGGTGCCAGCTGGGGAGGATGCGGCTGCCCACCCCGTCCACCACAGTCGGGAGGACGTCGGCATTGTGCCCACTTCTTGCCGGGTGGGCTCTCATCCCACTGCACGGCTGAGGAAACTGAGGCCCAGGGGAGGAGAGGGGTTGCCCGTGGCCACACGGTGTGCCCTCGGTGGAGCTGGACGCAGATCCAGGTCTCTGCCACCCTCTCTGGTAATGTCGCTGCCCCACTGTGCAAAGAGAGATGGACAGTGAGAATGGTCCTGTGGCTGCACGGGGTGGGGGCTCCATTTGGGACCGTGAGACACAGGCGGTAAGGGAGATGTGGCCCCCGCCGGTGACTGCCCACAGTGGACGCTGGCGGTGCCCCTGCAGATCACCGTGACTGAGCGTCACCCACCCCTGGAGCCGCGAAGATGGCGGCTAACAGCTCCCAGCTGTTTCTTCTTGGAAACTAGCCCTCGGCCAACATGAACCTGGGAGGGTCCACAGCTCTGGCCACTGGGAGGGGCAGCCACAGCCAAGGCCGGCCTGATGCGGGGGGTCGGGGGCTGGTGTAAATGTTGCCCCCTTCCTGCAGGTGGGGCTGCTCTGTGGCGCTCTTCGTGCCCTGAGCTCCCCTCGGGACAAGGCATCACACGCTCAGCTTCTAGAGAGCCCCCACGACGCTCCCTCCAGCATTCACGAGCATCTCAGATGCAAACTTTTAGGCAGAGCTGTCCACACCTGCTATCCCCATCCATCACCTTCTCTAGCTCCCATCACCCCTGTCCAGGCCATTAGTGACCTTTGCATGGCCCACTGACCCCCTCTTCCTCGGCTGGGCCCCACCTCTTGTCTCTCTGGCTGCCCCTTCTCAGCTCCGCCCCGACCAACTCTCCCCGGGCGCCTAGACCAGTGCGGCTGCTCCCTGTGGGCTGCTCAGTGAGGCTGACTCAGGGGACCACTGGCTTGACATCCTTACCATCCTTCTGCTTAAATCTTCTGTCCCCAGCCTTCCTCCCCACCAGCCTGACCCCCCAGTCATCTCAGCAGAAACCTGATGTCGTTTCCCCTGTCCACCCCTCCACTCTGCCCCATGGCCACTGCAGGACCTGCCTCTGTGGCCCTCCCCCTGGCAGCTGTCAGTGCCTCCTCCTGCCTCCTACCCAGCCCCAGCCATGCCACGTCACTCCCTTCCTTCAAAACCTACAGTATCTCCCTACTGCCCAGGATAAAGGTAACTCCTTAGCTTGGAGTCTGAGTAGCCCCTCCCTCCCTGCATCCCTTCTGAAAACCAGAGCTTCAGCCGTAGCCAACTGCCTTCTCTTCCCTCCTCTGGGACTTTGCTCCTGCTGCCTCTCGCCCTGGGAGTCCCTCCCGTCTGCTCCGCTTACTCACATCTGATTTCCCCACGCCTCCCTGGCTCTTCCTTGTCCACAGCCAGGCCTAGTCACATCCTGGTGCTCCATCCTCCCTGCACCGCTCAGCCCCGGGCCAGCTCAGCGCCTGCCTCAGGCTCTCCCTGCGCTCCACCCAGGGCCGGTGGGCTTTCCAACGCCCAGGCTGAGGTGTCCCGTGAGGCCGAAGCCCTCCCTGGCTCCTTGCTGCCCTCTGAGGAAGGGCTGGCTCTCTCTCGTGTCAGCCAGGAGGGCTCTGGCTGCAGGCTGAGCTGGGCCGCGTCCTGAAGGCGGCGGAAACCCCGCTGGGCACTGTGATGGTGGTCTGAGCAGGCACCTTGCTCCTCCGGGGGCTCAGCTGCTGGGAGTCACCAGCAGGAAGTGGGGCCGAGCAGTGAGGCCAGCCCCTGTCAGAGGCATGCGGGTGCCCCAGGCACGGGATGGGAGCCGGGCCAGGAGCTGGCAGGCAGCCGGGGGCACTCGTGGGAGCAGCCACTCAGGCGGTGCCAATTAATGATTGGCCCCAAGAGGGGGAATGGCCTGGGTGCGTGGGATGGCCCCTTCAGGCCTTGCCCATGACCTTGGACCATGCCTAAATCTTGAGAACTGATGGGAAACCCCTTAAAGGGGCAAATCAAGCCTTGTGCAAAGATCCAACCTCTCCACCAGCACCTGGTGCTGTTGCTTCTACGCCTCCTGGGATGGGGAGCTCACTGCTTCACGTGAGATAGATCTTTCCTACGAGGCTCCTCTGCTGGCTTTGCCCTGGGACCCTGCAGGTGCCATTTCCTCTGCTCCCTGCAGGGAGTCCAGGGTCTCCCCTCATCACTGGTGGCCTCCACCTTCTGGCCACCCAAGCCCACCCCAGGCCTATTTCCTCATCTACGGAGCGAGGCTTGTGGCCCAGGGCCCTCCTGATCTGTCTCTTCCTTAACTGAAAACGAGCTTACGGGGAGGGAACGAATGTGTCCCAACTCAGCTGTCTTCTGCCATGGGGTGGGGCAGGGGCCTGGGGGGAGACGCGAGAGTCAGGGGGTGAACCTTGTATTCCAGGGACGCCTGTTAGAAACTCGGGTACCCCGGGGACCCCAAGCAAGGCAGGGCGTTTCCTGCAGGCTCCATAATCCAGCCAGGACTGTTGGCCTGGGCTTCTTTGACAGGGTGACATGTAAGCTGAAACTCGAGGGAGAATCAGAGTGACCCAGACCAGCCTGGAGGTGAGCACAGGAAAGGGGGCTGCAGGTGGAGGGAACAGCAGGCACCAGGGCCCAGAGACCAGAAAGTGGATGGTATTTTCCAGAAACTGCAGGCAGGATCATCGAGGGTGAACTGGAGGATGGGGAGACCTGAGGCTGGAGGGGCGGGGCAGGGCTGGGGCACTGTGAACCCAAGGTGTGAGTGCTGTGAATTGCTGGAAGGCATGGAAGGTTCTGAGCAGGAGAAGGACTTCCCTCGGCACACGGGCGCCCTCCAGCCACTGCCCCACCCCCGCCTGAGCCCAGAGTCCCTTGGGACCCACTGGCACGGGGCATGGGGGCTGCGGCTGTGTGCACTCGGGCTCCCACCCCCCACCCCGAGCTGCCATGGAACACTGAGTCCCCCCCATCATGTGCCGCCTCAGACATGACCAGGCATAGGGGCTGCCCCTAATCTGGGCTCACGTGGCCACCCGGGCGTGGCAGGGGCCGCTGGCTCCGCTCAGGTCTGCTCTGTGGTAAGGTTTGCATTGGGACTGAGCCCTGGGCCCACAAGCTGCAGACAGTAGGGGCTCAGGAAACGCTGTCAGTTCCTGGACAATCCGAGGGAGCAGAGTGGCTTGCCTCTGGGAGTCTGAGAGGCAGATCTGGAGTCAGCCACTGGCCGGGGCCTTGGAGGAGAGAGGGTGACTGACGGGCCCCCTGCCCGGGACTTCACAGGCCAGACCTGGGGAGGTCTGACCTTAGTCCCCAGGAGGGTCTAGGGCTCGAGGGCTACGCTGTCCACTCAGGGGTCCCACAGGCGCCCACTAGCCAGGGAGCACTTGAAATACGGTGCATGCAGACTGCGATATGCTCTAAGTGTAAGACACAAAGATTTCCAAGGCTTTGATAGAAAAATGCAAGTAAAATATCTCTTTAATGATCTTTACGTTGATTACATGTGCAAAAGGTACTATTTGGATATATGGGCTAAATAAA